GGACAATATGTTTATTCGTCTGACGTTTCGACATCCGTCGCGGATTCATCATGAGAGACATGAGTAGCAGAAACAGGAGAAGCGAATATTCTCCTCAATGCCGGAACTGGATTGGGATCCGTTCATTTAGTCCACCAGGATTTTATCATTGCGTAATGCCTTCTCCTGACCCGGTGACTGGTTACATCGATATGAGTTCATTTTACGTGTCGAGACTGATGTTTGCTTCCCATCCTCTGACACATTATAGTTCTGATCATTATGACTTGAACTTGAGAATGAATTAACAGGAAAACCCTTTAAACCCCTCCTTTGGAAGTAAGCCTCACTCTTGTTCGTTCCAATTTTCAATAAATTGCTTAAACTGGTAACTTTTCACAGGGAATGCAGCTAATTCGGCATCACTTCTCTTAGAGGCGGTAGTTCATGTCTGCAGAACAGAATGATCAAAAAGTCAAGTAACTTATGAGATAGCAGTATAAACGTGGAACCGCCAAGCGTAGTCTAAGTTAACTGATTGTAGATGGCTAAACATGTCATTTGGTTTTATCAACTAATTAGAATGCATTTATATCTGTAAGGAGCACAAATTGACTTCTTCTGTTGAAACGCGGAACAAATATTCTTGGTTAATAGTTATTACAGGCTTCGTCGACACATTAATTCGTTCGATTTCTATTCTATAAGGCCTGGCGGAAGTTATCCGCAGATACCTTTCTTCCCGCTCGTTATTGGGGATGGTTTTGAAAAGGTTCAGATTAGAGCCATGAGCAGAGTAACCATCTAAGGCCCCGTGTTGTGTCCAGTGCTATTGCATTCTTCCGAATCTCCTGAAGTCGACTAAACACTTCAAAATTTACTATTATTGACGACTTAAAGGAACACCGCTTTGCCCATGGGTTCCCGTTGAAGGTCTCAGCCATAGTGCGCGTGAGAAGCGAGAAGAAAGAACGACCAATCGCGCGTGCAGTACGCGAGTAAGAGCAAATCAACATCACGAGCGCAGTCCTGCTAACAGAGGCGGCGGCGGTGGTGTGATCGTTGGAGCCAATAAAAATAAAGCGCAAGTTCTTCTCATTAGGATTGGTGGCTGTAGGATGGAGCGGGTAACACGGCAGTGAAAAACAGGACTTTCGAAAGAACAAGCACTGCATGATACATGCAGATAAAGATTTTCAAAAGTTACTCGTTAAACGTTTTCCATTTGAGTGAGTATCCCCAAGTTAAGCGTCAAAAGCGCTGGAGATTATGTTAAGTTGCAGGTTTCTATGTCTGCGATGCACGGTAGTGTCAAGTTCAGCAGTTCCCTTAACGCACATGGTTGCCAATACTGACACAACGGGCCCAAGTTCCAGAAACCTACTAATGCCAGTCAGTTTGGCTATGATGCGAATGGATACCAACTGGCCGGGCCTTTGGCATTTTCCTGCATAAACAATCAAAACGTACGTCTATTACGTATTTGTTCGGGTTGATTAATGACGAATTCAGTCGAAGACTCTAACACCTGCTCTAAGGACTCGAACTGCTCGTGTTAGCTGGGCAATACGACAGTAACTTTCTTTACCTCAGAGCCAAGTATCGGACCATCGTGGTCTCCTTCAAAATAAAGGCCATACCTTCATTTTTCCCTATTCCTCTCTCTCATATTAACACGAGCAGCAAGCAGAGAGAAGAGTCAACTTATGCAAAAAATGGAAACGAAGCAAACTTGATTCAAATACGCTATTGAAGGCTGATAAACCAAAAAAATCAGAAAATATGTTGCGCCTCGCATTTTGTGGATCGTCGATAATAGTCGTGGGAGATGATACTGGAAGGGTCGACATATGAAGGCAGTTGAGATCGTCTACTCGCTTCGTAGATTAAACCTAGTTACAAAACCAAGGTCGAATACACGGATAGGGTGTATTCAAGGTCACATGCGAGTGACGGTCATTGGTATAGACCAATGGCAGAAGGAGTTATAGGATTTCTGCTTTGCCTTTGAGTTCGCTTCTCAAGTGGTTACCTGGAAGTGTGTAACAGGGGAAAACGCTACTGGCAATAGTGGCCATCCTTATACAGTCAAACCACCACCACCATAATCATTATCACCACTAACTCTGGCCTTAAACGTGATAAGCGACTTACAACACGTGTACAGTAATTGAGCACTTTTTAGCGAATGCTCATGTGACATAAAGGACATTATAGCATTCAAAAAGAGATCACTAGAAGGCACCTTCCACTGACGTTAACCTAACAGACGGTTACCTAGTATAATGTTACCAGGCAGATCGTGTTGCCGGCAAAAACAAGCGGGAGACTGGAATGACCATTTTTGGCTTATTAGCCGTCATCAGCCAGTCATATCCAACCCCAAGTGGTGCACCACCCGAGGCTCGAACTCGCGACCTTTTCGATCAGAGTTAAAAGCTCTAACCATTGAGCCACGAGCTCGTCGTCTTACCGGTTTAGGTCAGGGGATATTGACAGACTTTCCCCTGAACGCTGACGGAACTATCCTGCCACGCTCTGCCTTGGGCCTCGACAGAAAGGAAGGTTGCTGGAGTCTGACTAGGATCTCTTGTATTGCAACCTGGACGCCATCCTAAAAAGTTGAAGATTGTAGAGAAACGCTTAAAAGGGGCACTTACTCGAATGGATTATCACCAAAAATGGGAAGCAGTCTCAAAGGCTATCAAAATAGTTATGCGGTTGCGGCATTTTTTAAAATCCAGTTATGACCGAAAGGCACAGATAATTTTTTATTCATCCAAGGATTCAACAAATGTTGCCACCGTGATGCTGAGGCGGGAGAGTCTTCGATAATTCCTTGATTACCATCCGTAAGGGTAGGAAGCTACATTAGGCTCTCAAAACGGGCAAATCTGTTATTTGGGGCCTAGTGTGGGTCAAAGCTGTGCGTGGCATTCGTGGGTCGGAGGCTCTTCGTTAGGGCGGCCATGACACAGAAATTCATGATCTCTGTTATGCATAATTTGCAGTTTTCTCGAGTGTGAGATTGCGTAAAATCGGCTCAAATTCGTTGATGAACGTTCACCCGACCGCTAACGGAACTCAGCTGTCCCGCCCGGCCTTAGGTCTCGACAGGGGCTCTGGCAGCCTTAGCAGCTGGTAGAGTAGGTAGATAGTATTTCTGGCAACGAGGAGGAAGACTAGAATGGCCATTTCTGGCTTTTTAGCCGTCGTCAGCCAGTCATACTCAGATCCAAGTGGCGTCCCACCCGAGCCTCAAACTCGCAACCTTTTTGATCAGAGTCAAACGCCCTAACCATTGAGCCATGGGCTCGTTGTCTTTGCCGGTAATAATATCAGCTCACATTCCTTGCGGCTTAAAAAATTGTGATTTGCCTTTCTCATCAAATTTTGAGCGAAAAAATAATGAGTGAGATGATAATCGATGCGTGGACCTGATCAAATGGGGCACAGTCACTCTTCGGTGGCGGCTCTCACCGCTATGTGATGTATACAAGTTAACAGTCTGTAGCTGCATGGAAAATCCGAGCAGCAGACTTCCTTTCCGAAAGGCCGACGTTTTTTGTTCGAGCAGGACGTGCGAGGCCTGCGTAGAGGGGGTGTTTAGCTTCATCACCTACCGTACCTGATCCCGCCTCCGGTTCAGCTGGGTGAAGAAAGAGAGCGTGAGGTAGACGCTTCGAAAGTCTACCATACCGATGGACTAATTTCCGCGCAAGTCACGGTCCCTGCACCCACCTGGATATTGAGCACATCGTGGAATCGAGATTCAAACTGCAATCAACGGAAAATTTTTGGGTGTGATGAGGGAAGACGAAATCAACTCAGCCAACGTCCTCAAATGATGCATAAGGCACCGTTTCCTCTGCAAACAGTCCTGGTTCCCATCAAATAGGATAGACGAGCTATTGAAAATTTGGAGTAACTTCGATGGAACCAACTGTTAAGCAGACCAGTTTAACCAGTCCCAACTTTTGCCAGGCTGCACTGCATGCCCATGAATACCAAAACTTGTAATGTCCGACGAATTTATCGGCAAAATAAACTCCCAAACCTCTGTAGCCGTAAATCACGGGAAAGGTCGGTTATGTCGAAGCTGTTGGTTTCCCTCAAAAGGATATTTCAGAGTCCATAAAACTACAACCTACCTTGGAGGACGTTAAGTCCACAATGGCGGTAAGTTTGTATATTAAATTTTTTGAGAAACAGAATAAGAACTTGAGTTTATGTACCAGTAACGCTGGGGGACCCAGTGATGAGCCAACCTCCTCGCAGTTCTGTCCGACAGCGGCACAAGATCGCTAAAATATGCATGTCTGTGTTCTTAACTATCAGCTATGCAGTCAGTATGCCAAATACTTACGTGCCTGAGAAAACTTATCATCAGAACCGTCCCCCAATAACTTAATCCCCTTTCAAGGCATACATTTATAAACTGTGCATTTCCTACTAAGTCCTGGATCTTTTAAGTAGTGAACCCTGCTCCCTATAATCCTACACCAATATGATATAATGTTATACCATATCAATAGAAGAGCCCCCTCCCTCTCCCAGCAGAGTTTCATATATAGTTGGCACGCTTTCTTTTCCCGCGGCCTTATACTGTGTGTTTACACCAAGGAAGGGAGATAACCATACTTTCCTGTTGGCTAAAAGTGGGATGAATAAATATTCATC